TTGATAAAGACAGAGCCGACTAGTCCTAAATGGCAGGGGTCCACAGTGAGCCTTTCATTCTTTGAAATGTTGATGTTCCAAAATACACAAAAATTTAAGAATACATTTGTAATAGAGTACAGTTAAATGTGGAGAATTATGTTCCTCTAATTGCTTAATTTTGTAACTGCCTTTTTCTTGTACAACTAGTTCTTTACACTCAGGGAAATAACAGTTGTTTCTACTTTTTGGAAAAAAAAGTGTTAAATCTTGAAATAAAATATTCTGATAAAAGACAGTACTTTTTAGTTTTTAGGGTTTTTATTTTTATTTTCTTTAAGTCTTGCTGTGTAGTATTGACCGGCTTTGAACTTGAATCTTTCTGCTTTACCTCCCAAGTCCCTGGCTTATAGGCATGAGTGCTTATAGGCACTTAGCTAAAATATTTACTATTTGAATGTGTAATAGAAGAGGTCTCATGTAACAGAAGACCTTTTAATGTAACAGTGAAAACACATTCATGAAATACATATGTATTATTTATACACACACACACACACACACATTCATGAATATATACATAGCAGGTTAAAAGAAACATTTGTCCTCCCATCCTTCCTGAGGCCCTGGAATTGAAAAGTAATGCAGTTGGGTGGGTCTGGGCAGTCTGAAAAGAGGTTTCCGATAAGGTATGGTAGTTGTCCCAAGTGTCTATGGGACTGGAGGAAAATTTCCAAGATGGCCTACAGTCATCAAATCAGTCCTGTGGCTGATTTGGCAAAAGGCCTCAGTTTGTCACACATGGGCCTCCCAATAGGGCTGCTTGGCTACTTATGTCACTGTTGGGCTTAAGAGCAAGTTAAGGAGAGGGGAAGAAAGGCTGAGAGAGTGAGTGGGAATACAGCATAGCAAACACAATTGTTCAATTGTTCGTTACAATCCAGTCAGAATCCACCATATCCATGAGTTTACACCGCTGTGACCAATCACCTGTCAAAAACAACAGAGGAAAATGAAGGTTTTCGTTTCCAGAGTTGCCAACCATCATGGCAAGGAAGGCATGGAGCAGGGAGTACAGCATAGACAGCCCCATACCATCACGCGTGACAAACTCTATTGGTCTAAGACTCACAGGTCGACCCCCATCTGTTGTAGGAGCCAACTTTGACAAAACTCATATGTTCCAGGGTAGGGGTGTGAGGATTAGAATTATTAGGCAAAAGGAACAGAGATGTAAGAGAAATAAGAGACAGAAACACAGAACTGGGAGGACATTCAGTGAATATTGAATTCACCTTGTTTATTCTTCCATATGCTTATATATTTCACTCCAAAAGAGGAGGGGGGAGGCAAAAGACTTTGTTAGCATGACACAAGGAATAGACTTGAATTCTCCAACCTTTGGCCCAGGTGGAGATCTACTTCAACACTCAAAATACTAATTAACCACAACCTAGGTCAGAATCGCTCATTTGTAACCATACCTGTTAACAACTTTGATCAAGCAAAAATAAGCTCAAACTCTCTTTCAGACACGGAGGAATAGGTTCACATTTTTGGGTCTCCACAGTGGACTGAACACAGGAATCATTAGGAGCCATCTTGAAGGTAGGCTCCGCAGATAGCTTATTACAGTGTTGACTTTGGGATTTTTGTTGTAATAGTCCCAGATGGTGCATGCTGGAGATTACCCGTGTGCCAGTGCACACAGGAAGACACAAGAAAGAAGTCAGCTCTTATGTACTTTATGTGTTTTCTGTTTCTCAGCTCTACGTCTGTCTTCACTCTTTTCTTTAACAGTAAATCAGTATCTGGGTTGAGGGTCCCTGAAGACTGCTGACCTGCTAAGCTCACTGGTGCATCACGTAGCACTGGGCTCAGCGGGAGATCTTGTCTCAAAGGTGGAGAATGAACATAGCGGAAGGACATTGGACTGACTTACGGCCTCCACAAGCACACTCACTTTTCCTACCCAATGCAGTCAGAAATATTGATAAATCTTCGTATCTTAAAGGGGTCTGTCTCCAGAGACTGACCCTTATTCAGAAAAAAAGACACAATCCTGTCTCGTTTTTGTTCTTTTTACTGAAACTTGTCAAGGGAGATCATTGACTACAAATGATTTATTGGTCCTGTATTAAATTGAAATTTTTGTGACAGTAAAAAAAAAAGGCACAAAAGTTTTATAACAAATATGCATATTCCCAATTCTCAGCATTTAAAGTGTGAACATGTCAAATTTTCTTCACTTAAAATCTTATAGGAGAGCCAGGAGGTGGTGGCACACCTTTAATCCCAGCACTCTGAGTTCAAGGCCAGTCTGGTCTACAAGAGCTACTTCCAGGACAGGCTCCAAAGTCAGAAAACCTGTCTTGAAAAATCAAAAAATCAAAACCAAAACCATATCATACAGGAGAAAAACTAACACCCAAAGTCCCACTCTTTTTGACTAGCAGGGAACCATCAGGATTGGTTCGTACGCTCTCATTTCCTTGACACTTTACATATGTAGTACATAATTTCCTTATATGATACATACTATTGCTTTCTATTAAATTATACAAATATACTACATGTTTTCTACCTTCTTCAAAACCCAGGACGGTTACTGTAATCTGGTCAAGTTTATACAATCCAGTTTGTTGTAACTGCTGTCAACTATCAAATTGGACGTTATATTGCACTAGCCACTGATTCTTTTTCCTAGACAGTTTCTGGGACTTGCGCTGTAAACCAGGTTGGCCTCGAACTCACAGAGAACCGCCTGCCTCTGCCTCCCAAGTGCTGGGATTAAAGGCGTGTACCATCACTTCTCCTATCCAATATCTTGATAGATGCTTTTTACAATGAGGCAACATTGTGGGTTGAACTATATGACATTCTGTATCAAAATAGAAATCACTTGAATATAGTTTTACATAAGCCTTGTTTATATGGTAACTATTTTTTTTAGCATCTGATGGCACAATTATTTGCTTTTACCTAAAACTTAAGAAGTTAGGCATTATTTTCACATGTCCTTTAATCTTTTGAATTTTCTCCAAATTTTTCATATACAGTATACTTACTCGGACCAGGAAAAAATTAAGTATTTAAGAACTGACCAGGTATGAGGTTACATGCCTTTAATCCTAGCACTCAGGTAGATAGAGACAGGTAGATATTTTTGAATTTGAGGTCTGCCTGGTCTACTTAGTGAGTTCCAAGACAGTCAGGACTATATAGAGAAACTGTCACAACAAACTTATGAATATGCTCACAGGATAGGGAGTAAGTAGGTAATGGACTCTAAAATTCTTCTAATTGGCAAAGCTATTTAGAAGGCTACCTTTTGTATGGAGAAAAAAAAAACAGTGGCTAGTGCAGTATAACATCACAATTTGGTAGTTGATAGCAGTTACACCGGCTTTGTATAAACTTGACCAGATTATAGTAACCATCCTGAGTTCTGAGAAAGGTGGAAAACATGTAGTATATTTGTATAATGCAATAGAAAGCAATAGTATGTATTACATAAGGAAATTATGTACTACATATGTAAAGTGTCAAGCAAGGAAATGAGGATACGAACCATAGCAAACTGTTTACTGCCAGTTTCCTCCCATTCTGTTGGGCCATAACCTGTGTGATTTTGCCACTCTTCCCATCACAGGCCGAGTCGTGCCTCTACCCTTTAAGCTAGGCTGACTTTCCTGCTCCCGACCTGTCAAATGTGGTAGAAGGGACCGTCCAGCTTGCCTTCACCGCCCGAGACCCACGATGTCCTAGACACCAGCCAGCACTAGTTTAGAGGCATGATTAAAACCATGCTGGACCCAACTCAGCTTCACTGCCAGTTTCACTGTGTAAGTTAAACTAGATGAGACCAGCAGAGGAACCAGCCAACTTACATAACCATGAGAAAAACAGATCATCACTTAAGCCATTAAACTTGGAGGTGGCTTGTTTTACAGCAAGTGGTCAACACAACCGTGCTCTACATTTGGAGGAAAGTACAACTTTATAATACTTGTGCTAAAAAAAAAAATTCTACAAACTGGCCAGTCCCCCAAAATCACATTTTGTGGGATATAACTTTAACAGTTTAGTAAACCAAGTCACATCAAAATACAAATTGGGCCTAGAAATACAGCCCCGTGATAGACTTAACATGCCTAACATATGCAAGGGCCTGAAATAATACAGCTACAGAAATTACAGATTGTTAAAAAAAAACTTGTAAAAAAATGTATAGATTTTCATTAGAAAATTTGACTGCAAACCAATTATGTATTGCTCAAAATACAAAATGGCACTATAAAGTCACCCTCCTACATTCTCATTATCCTAAGTTAAGGAAAGAGTCATGAAAATAGAACATGGACAGGGCTGAAGCTGAGGGTCTTCTGAGCCCTAGGTCTGGGCAGCAGTGGCAGCTCCAATTTCTGTTGCTACAGGCCAATCAGCACACAAGAACTACATTCCTAAGGAAATATGTAAAAGGTAGGTTTCTAAACTAAATCTACAGGGTTATTTTTCCCCTTTCTAGAAGTACTGGGGGAATTGAATGAGGGCCTCATGTATTCTGGGCAAGTGCTCTACCACTGAGCTACAGCCCCAGCCCTAATTCTTTTCTTTCTAAGGTGAGGTTTTGGTACACAAGAAAACAGAATGTGGTATAGCAGGAAATGAGCCAGATATAAAAGAAATAAATTGGGAAAATTTGCTACAAATACCTTTGAAATAAATGTCAAAGAACATTTAAGCATGGAATAACAGCAACACCATGGCTTGACAGAATGCTTTGCCTACACATGTGAAAATGGAGCTATAATATCCTAAAAAGATACATTTAATAACACTCAATGCAATTTAGAGTGATCTGAAAGTCAAATATTTAGGGTGTGTACACTTGAAATGGGACACAAACTAGTCAAAATACTAGTTTAAAATGTTTAAACCAAGATCAACATACACAGTACAACTTAAACATATAGCATACTCTCATGTACCACAAAAAAGAAAAAAGCAGGGGGCTGAACTTGTCTATAATTAAAACTTTATTGAAAAACTGACTCAAAATAGGAGATCACTGTTGTATACTTTATAAAATCAAACACAGTTACAGTTACATTGTCTTGACAGAGTCACTAAACTTGGTAAGGCTTTCTGTGAAAAAACGCAAACTCAGGAACTTGAATAGATGATTAGTGTTGCTTTCTTCTAAATGAACAGCCTGCAAAGGAATCAAGAGAGTGCATTAAACATCTTACTCTATCTTTGGTGTGATTTTAGTGGTAAAAAGTGCTTTTTAAGTAAAAAAAAAAAAGCTTTAGGAACCAGTTAATTAGACAAAGGAACGTTGGATTTTAGGCAGAAAACTGAAGTTTCTGAGTATTATTAATATAAATTTGCTATAATAAATATTGCATGAGTTATTCAAATTATGTCATTGACTCTGAGACCATAAACCCCACCCCAACAGTTCGCACTGTTTTGAAGATCTCTTATCTTTCTCCTCAGTCCCTTTCCTCTACTCAGTCTCCCACAAAGTTAGCTCTGATTATAGAGTTCTCACAGGTTACAAATCTGCAACAGATGCACCTTTGACTTCACCTGTTAGCATATGCACACAAACTCCCATGATCATGGCATGAAGTAAGTTCCAGCAACCTGCAAGTGCTTTTAAATAACAGTAAGCAATGTGTCTTTTTGTTTGTTTTGATTTTTTGAGACAGGACATCTCTACATAGCCCCGGTTGTCCCAGAACCCACTATGTAGATCAGGTTGAACTCATGGAGGTCACCTGCCCCTGCTTCCTAATTGATAGGATTAAAGGTGTGTGCCACGACATCCCATTCTTTACACGCCTTATGTTGACTTTGGACTCTGATCTCACCCAGTCACACCAAATAGATCTTGGATTTACTGCTAATGCATTTGTAACTCTTCCAGTGAAAATGTGGAATTCACAGCTTCCCAAAACATCACAAGCAAATTTCAAGTATTATGGATTATAAACCAGAACACATTATTATGAAAAAATGTATACAATTACTTTTATTTATTGTATTAAAGTGAAGTTGGAAAGTAGATTTTTAAATTTAGTATTAAATAGATGTCCATAAAAATAAAAAAGGGGGCATTTTAATTGATACATCTGAGGTACTTGTTCCTTACTTGGTAATGACAAAAACAAAACAAAAAAACCTCTTTTATGCACCAACTATATAAGAAATAAAATGTTTTAAAATCTCATTCTGACTTGTTTTTAATTTATTCCAAGTTAATTACACAAGGAGAATTAAGTATGTAAGACCAAGTATTCTAAAGTTAAAAAAATAACTGTAGTATCAAAGGCATAAGCAGCTTACCTATCTGAACAGAGGACTCTTTAAAGAGCCCACAATAAACATTCTTAATCTTATTACTGGGTTAGAAAAGACCAAAGGCTATACCTTCTGTGAGCCTGGCTTTTCCTCCTGTTGGCTGGCACAAAACTGTTGAACAACCTACACAAAGAACCACTGTCTGAGCATGGCTGAAAACTGTAGTAATCTTGTAGCAGCCTAAAAAGAAAGAAGGGGAACAATACATCAAAAACTTGCAAAGAAGATGAAAACAGAGTACTGGCTCATCCTATTTCTTGTCAGTATCTAAATACATGCTGCTTATACAATGACTGATGCTTTTACACATTTCCCGTAAACCTTGGTCCCTGCTATGACAGCAGGTCACACATGGAACAAAGTATTTTTGAAGTCACTTAAGTTTTTTTTTTTAAGGTGAACTTTTATTAAAGTTAGTATTTCTGAAACATTAACATTTTTCAGAATGCAACAGACACGTCATCTTTTTCAGGTTATGTCTTCCATAAAGTCTCACTGTCTCATTTTAAGTACGCAACTGCCACATATGGATGGATAATGGAAACCTCAGACAGCACAATTCGAGACTGAAGAATCAGCATACTGTCGTTGTACCGTGAAAAAAGAAAATTCATCATCTTAATGAACAGCTGGAAGACTTGAGTCTAACCTAGCTTCACCTGGCTCCCACATGTTCCTACTAAACCTTGAGAATGTTTACTTAAAATGTCCCTGCGACAATTCTGTGATCTCAATTCTACTCAACTGTGGATCCTGTCTAACTAAAGCTTCGGTTTTCTTCAGAAACTTCCTTTCGGACAAGAAAATTTGAAAATTTACCTGGACATTTCACATCCATGAAGTAAGAATTTGGGCTCTGAACCAGCCGTTTCTTCTTATGTTTTTTCTTTTCGTCTTCCAAGGAAGGGTGTAAAAGATCTCTAGCCAGCTGAGCAAAGAAGCATATTGTTACTGCTGGAGTCAAAGCACACTGGGGACGGATTTAACCACACGACGAATGCAAAGCAGGAGCAACAGGCATCCTCCGCAGAGGGACCACTTCCACCCATACTTTGGCGTTCGCCGAGTCCTTGTCTTAGGACTTTACGGCGGTCGAGGCGCGCATGATAGAGAATCCCCTTCTTCGTTCGGTTGGAAAGCCAGTCAAGCTAAGTAAGAACGAGACTCTGGCTCAGGCCCCGGGGAGGAAGCAACGCAGCCGATCAGAGCAAGGCCGGGATGACCTCAGCCTCGGGGCGCCACACCGGACCGCCAGCACCGGGCTGCCTCGTGGCCGCCTGGGGTGGAACGACCGTTGTCAGCAGCTTCGTAGGGCGTTAGCGAGCAGAAGTAGATACCCCCCCGCAACCCTTCCGTAGGCTGGGAGCGACTCCCCATCCGCGGCCCGCTCGCTCGCGCTCCGGCTAGGTAGGGCCAGCCACGCCACGCCGCTCGGGCAAGTCCGGACAAGCCCG